CACGTGTGTTCGAGGCGATGGCGCGCGCGGCCGCTCTGCGCACATGTCTAAACTCACGTGTGCTTCTGGCCATAGGGTCTGCGCGCATTACCGCTCGCGTCCCCGTAACAGTAAAGGTCACGAACAGACAACCAACTATCCGACCGAAGTTGGTAAAGTTTTAAAAGCAGAGGGTGAGAGAGAACAGATGAGGCAGGCTTATCCTACCTTTCTTCGGGTATTCATAACCCTGACCGCCAACTGAAACCAGACAAACCAACGCAGATCAGGTCTATCAAATGGAAGATAAGCACTTCATCGAGTCGAAGTTCATCAGTGCCTAGCTCCCTGCCACTTTCTGTCACTGCAGATCGGGTGTTTCTGTAAACAGGAACGGACACACATACACCAAAGTGTGGGGCAAATTTTAAAAACAGACAGTCAACTAATTTCGGAGGCGGAAAGTGCGGATAGCTTTATACAGTACTCTTTTGGGCTGGCGGTCAAAGTTTCGATTGGCTAAATTAAAGCAGCATAAGCCTAAAACGGTACTGTATCAGTCTACCTTCAGCCTCTGTAATACCGCCTCCCCTCGTTCAAAATAATTTCCCACGGCATACTTTACTGGCACCCATAACTCAGTTTAAAGTGCATCCTAAACTTATTGGACGTTTATTGTAGGGTGCATCTCAAGTCTTCAGTCGTGTTGGATCCAGGCCTAATTGTCGTCCCCCTGTGCACATGACAACACGCTCGAAAGCATTCACTCACGGCGCTTGCCGCTGTCAGCAAATAGACTTAGACCTATCTTTTCTTTCTCCATTGATCAGTTTTTAAATTGGTCCTCTAATTTGTAGCCAATGGATATACACATCTGCACAAAATTTGGACATCTCTAAGGTGGGGGTGACGGCAAAAGGGGATTTACAGGTGGGGCGATGCTGGTCTTACCGAAAGCTCAGCGACTATCTCATTTAGCTAGATCGCTTCTGAATATAGACGTGCAGTATGTTGTCTTTGAGATCGCGTGGTTTCTTCTCGGGTCCTTCTGCTGCATAGGGTGAACTTCAGATCTACTTAGTGCCAGTATGGAGAGTCTAGTCCAGGCGTAGCCGCTGCGTGCACGCAGGTAACACCTGACACCCAACCGGTTCACTCGGCCTGAAGGTCGCATCGAAAATCAGCTGGCAGGCATCTGATTGGTGCATTGCGCGCGGCAAGTCAAATGTGGAGGTGACTTGGCGGCAAAAATAAACTGACCTTATTGAGAGTTAAGGTGAGCGTTGAAATTGACTGAGCCTTGTCTAGAGAACAGGAGCCACTCAATCGGTGACTAAGCGCTTGATTCGGCAATAAATTAAGATGAAGTCTGCATTTTCGGGTCGTCGCGACCCTTTTGTCCACTTTTGCTAACTACGAACGATTCTTCAATCCGATGGAGAAGTATAATTTTTGATCCTGGCACAAAAATGTGCGAGGACGAGGTAGCTGGGGCATATTTCACGATAGCGGGGGCTGGCATCGTTACCTGGACCACCGGCGATCAGGAAGATGGTGTTTGCGGCCTGAGGCGTGTCCACAAGTGGTGGATCTTGAAATAGTAGAAGTTAAGTTGGTCGCCACCTTAGATACCCCTGGGCCTGTGACAACTTCTGCCCCGTAAGACAGAATTCTGGGGCTAGGGGTGTCTAAGGTGGGCGGCCAAAGTAACTTATACCTCTGAAATTGTTTTTACCGAATACTGATCGCGAAATAAGCAAGCTTTAGTGGACAGTGAATTGGGCTTACTTCCAAACAGGGCTAAGCACCAATCTGGTGGACCGCGTTCGCATAAACAGATGGAAGCAATAGCGGCGTGACGTATTGCCCCCTCCCCTCCCGCCTATCCAATAAGGCTGCCCCGCTGTCGGACAGTGGAATCCTGTAACCTTTAACTGTTGGGCCCAAGGGTTAGGGGTGAAGACGTATACTTTCGAACCACACGCATAACGGGCCTCCGACGAGTCACCGCCTAACCGAGTTTTAAGACTGCCAACGAGAGTTATGATTTGCAGGCACTGGCACGAGCCACTGACGCCCAGGTGGCAAACTGCCAGACCAAAACTTTAAGGGCGTAAGTTTAGAAACCAGCGAACGCGAAAATTGCGCACCTATTTTGTTGTCCTAAAGGAGGTAACCGCCAATGCCGTCAACTACTCGATCTCTTTTATTTTCAGGTTTTCTAACAGGAATTCTGCAAAATTACGCCAGAAAGTACGATCTGCCGATTGACCACCTGTCTTTCGACTTCACCGTCTATCCTCAATACCGCGACCAGGCAGAGTATGCCGCCGCGCTGAAGGAGGTGAAATATGGGGAAACAGTGCCGGCTGATGAGGAAATTGAATCGCCAAAGGATGGTGTACTTATTCACGGCCTGCTAATGGATGGTTTCAGGTAATTCTGTTGTCTACCTGACTTTCCATCCCTATATGTGTGCGCACCTGTTTCAAATGAGTGTTATCAGCCAAGGTACAAAAAGGATGGTCATGCCAGTCTCCCTCGTCTTTGCCGGCAATGCTATCTGCCTAAGCTAATAGCCGCTGAGCGGCTGCTTGCGGGGTTCGAAAATGGGTCCCTAGGAGAGAGCGGGACGTGTGACTTCTGTTAGCGGCCGGTGAACTTTCGGCAACAAGGTACAACAATCAACTTCTTCGGCTAGATGACTAAAACATCGGCACCGGCAAGAAACCTTCGGGCTCGAGATACAACATCTTGAAAACCGCTGTGCTTGATAGTGCCAGCTAGGAAGAGTAGAATGACAGTGTTTAGCTTATAAGACCTCGTCAGTCCGCCTTACAGAAAGCCAGGTTTTTGCGGCCTGAGCCTCCAACCCAGGTTCTCTTGCCATCTAATGTTAAAAATACTAACTATTCTTCTGTACTGCCTGAAGCTGTGTGACTGTCTGTGAGTCTCAAGGCACAAGGGGATATGCAGGTACCTTAATTCGCTCGGCTATCGCACCTCCGATGTTCCTCATCACAACCGAGAGGACGACCGACCCATGGTTCATTGTTCAGAGTGTCAAACTTTCGAACGCTTAATAACTACAAAATGCGGGTTCAAGCTTACGGTTCCCCCGAGCCTCCGGTCGGGTAAGGCTGACTAAAGACAGCCAATACGTCAGGAATGGCCATTTCAGTGCATGGCTTAGGGGGTAATTGAGAAATAGACGGGATTTCTGGAACAAGGGGTGCATTCGCCTGACGTTTTGGATTCCTGTCCGAACCCAGGATCAGATACGAGTAATTATTGCACAATCAATTGCTTTGGTACCGATACCTATGATAATTAAAGGTTGCCCCCTCCTCCCCCTGCCCCCTTCATCAGGGATATTTGCCCTCTGGTGCGATAATTGCTTGATGGCCAGGATTCGCGCCGAAAGACCCACGGCTACAGCAAGAAACCTCTGCCGTCGCTTATCGTATCTGGTGCAGTTGCGGACAAAGCAACTACTTCGAAGAAACTGGAAGACTGCTGCAATCGCGGGTGATCGAACATGCGGTAGAAGTCCGCGGAAATGGCATCAAACCTCAAACCGCGGC